TTGGTGCATTAATGGACAAGTACAAAAATGGGAGTGCTGAAGGTATAATTAACTGTGTAACTAATTGGCTCACTTTGACCTAAAATAGCTAGCTTCAGAGGACCTAATCTCTCAGGAAGTCAATATTGGCTGAACTGACTTATGGTGTCCCAGCGCAAACTTTAAGCTTTGAATGGCTAAGTTTCAAAACTTTTTTTTGGCAGCCAGCAACACAAATTCCACTCATCCTGGTGGACCATTAAAATGAAATTTCAGGAATGCATGCATTCATTGTTCATTACTTTAAGCAAGGAATTGGGGAACCAGTTATGAATTGGTAATTGAAGGGATTACCAGTGGGTAGAAGTTGTTCATACTGACACCAAGAAAAGTTCAGAAATTATTGCCTATATTTCATGGCTAACTAAGGCAAGACATTTCATGCTGGCCTATTACTGGGCTAGGACGGTATTAACATCTCGGAATCTGGGTTTACGACTTTGGAACAAATCCTGGAAAGTAGACTTCTCGAATAAAAGGATCTCCTTTAGATAACTAAATACTTCCTCTTAATCGATTTCCACCAATGACGTTTTAGGCCTTCATTTTTCCTGTTCTGCCTTGGTAATTATTTTAAGCCTATGGCTGATATTAAAGCTATTTATCCTGTGTAGTGCTAAATATTGACTTGGGACATAGTGCATATTGCAAACCACACAGGCTACAAGATCAGCTGAGGTACAAGTAGCATTTCCTTCACTCTTGTTAGTTGTGATGCTATGCAGGTACCATAGCCTGATGCTCATGGATGTTTGGTATACCATAGCCATACCATGGTACACCATAAGGTGTATGCTCGATGATTAAGGTATTGATGGAAATTCACTAGGAGATTAATGCTACAGTTTTGAGCATTATAGATTTCCATTGTAAAGCTTGAAATATGTATAGGAAATAAGTATATGATCCTCAAAAGTTGTTGTCATTGCAGGTCAGTATTATGCCACAAGCATCTTCACAAAAGGAGCAGGGTGAGCCATCTATTGCCATAGCAAATTTCCAGGGATCTTTTCTCAAAAAGAGACTTTTATGCCTCTGGTAGGAGAGGCTGCAAAAGCAAAGGCACAATGGGAATTGGCACTGTGAAAGTGATTGACAAATACATGGTATCATTCATATAAATGGCTGTGATTCCATCTGCTACTAGCCACCATTGAAACACGCATTCCTGTTCTTTTATCTATTTGATTCTGTGGTGCCAATTGAACAAACATTTCTTATTCCTGTCAGTTTTAATGGTTTCTTTTGGGTGACAGATCTCCTGTCAATCCAATATCTTGGTTGAGAAACAGAGTGGTTTCTCTGATGGCTATCTCATGTGAAAGACAGAATCATTAATAGACTGAATTTTTTTTACCTTTGTAAACGCTAATTAAAGTCTGGGAAACCCATAGAGTNTCCAATATCTTGGTTGAGAAACAGAGTGGTTTCTCTGATGGCTATCTCATGTGAAAGACAGAATCATTAATAGACTGAATTTTTTTTACCTTTGTAAACGCTAATTAAAGTCTGGGAAACCCATAGAGTATTTGCTTCAGTAACAAGAGGAAGGTGTTGCTAATCCAAATTACATAAAATTGCCATAGCAACTTATGGAACTCAGGAAAAGACTTGCATTCATCCAATCTACCTTTTTCCCTCATGAATAAATGAATATGATTCCTTGGGTCTTCCTCTCATCTGCATGATGGGCCAGTTTTCACAGTGCAAAGAATTAAGCAATTGCAAGTATTTGTTCCTCTCTGTCGATATTTGGCAATTTAAACAAATTCAACTCATGTTAGCTTACCTGTCATCCTAATGGACCAAATTCCCTGATATTATTTCTGCATTTATTCCAGACACTTCAAGTCAAGCTCCTGGGATGAATAATCGTGTTTTTGGCAGGGCTCCTAAAACCACTACTCTAGCTCAAAATCGGCATCCTCGGGCTCCAAGACAGCATCCTCAGACTCGTCCTCAAGCTTCACAGCGTCTTCCCGAGACTCGATTCCGTAGAGCTGCAGCAGAGGTGAGTTGTATCTCATATTTCAGTCCCTATTATACAATGTGTGGAATGACATCATGTCTTCTTTGATATATACTAATGTAGAAGAATGATTGGGATGTGCCAGAGTCGACTGTAGAAACGGCAAAATGAGGAAGGATTCTCTTTGCAATAATTCCTTGAATTTTTCAGTGGTTGTTGGGATCTTAGCAGGCTGAGGGTTTGTGTTCATGTGTGCCCAGATCTTCCTTTCTTGAGATACATACCTTAGGGTGTTCAATAATGAGTAATTGCCTAATTTTATTGCACCAAGCGTAACAGCTTTCAAACTGTTCTTAAGAAGAATGCCAGAGAATTCATTTGCATAGTCCCTAATAATTCTGACTTTTCACCTCCAGAGTGCATACCAAAAGATCCATGCTTGCAAGCTGGTGGAGCAGACCCGGAATTTGTACATGTATGAGGAAGGTTCACTCATTGAATCATTCCTTTCTGCTGAGGAGAAGATCATTCAGGAGGGTGCATCATCCTCATGGCAGCATTCTGCAGATTCTGGAATCTGCTCCAATGACACTGCTTCGTCCCAGTCTTCGGTCGAGCCGCGGAAGCGGGCAAAGTACCCTGTAGTGACACAAAGCGGCAAGGACAATAAATCGTCGGCTCGACATGCCGTCGCCTGGAACCTCCGTACTCCTGCCATGAATGTAGCAACAGGTGCATCCTCCCTCATCCCAGCCTTGTCATCTCATGGGTCATTGCAGGAAGGTACCAAGCACAAGAAGGTGGAGGAGGAAGGAAGGGCCAAGGTGGGGAAAGAAAGGGGAGTTGCTCGTGGAAAAGATACACTGATGCAACAACATCAACTTGCACCAAAAAAGTGAGCTATAAACATGCAACTAAATTCTTTTGAAGGTGGTTTCTCTGGTGAGATTGTCATTGCATGGACTGGAGACCTTTTGGAAGATCTGTCACCCTTCTGAAAGGAACCCACAGTCAACTTTTCCCTCAATCCAAAATAAATTCAACCCAGAGGCTTTCTTCATGAGATTGATGATCATCAGGATCATTAAAAGCCTAAGAGAATTGACTCATTTGTTGCTGGGCAAAAGAAAAAACCCTTTATGGTTCTGTTTTGGCTGTCTGTCTCTTTTGCTACTTTTTTCTGTAGACTATAACTCAGAAAATATTTCCCTAATACCTGTCTTGGAATGTTATGATATTATACCATTATCAAACATTAGGTGAATATTGGAGGTTTTTATGAATATCTGTTTTCTCATCTTTTACTCTTCTGAAACCTGATTTCATGTCCCATTTTCACTATGTTATACTTGTAATTATTCAAATTCCAACGTTTTCCCCAATAAGTTGATTCCAGTTGATTGATGGATGAAATGATTCCAAGGGTATTTTTTTTTACTCTACTTTTTAGTGGAAATTTTCCAAAAGATCAGATTCTTTTTCCCGTTTTGAGCTAATGCTTTAAGACTTTGGCTATCTTATTATCTGCATGGAGACATGTTATGCCAATATAATCAGTTACCTCCCTAGTGTCTAGGAGATGTGAAAACATGAATGGTAAAATATGGAGGGTTGCACTGTTTCTGGAAATATAGAAAGCAAGAGGCTGGCGATTTGATCACTTTATATGAAAAAATATGTGTAACATCTGTCTTGTATTCTGTTTCTCTTTAGTTGTCATCTTTCATGTCTTTGTTTAATGATTTTGCAGCAAGTTTATATGCTCGGTTGAACGTTTTTTCAAGGAAAATTGATGAGCAACTAAAGAAGGCAAAGCAAAAGCGAGAAATGGTGATGAAGGAGAATGTGAAGCCCTCCAATTCCAAGGCAAAGGAAGATTATGGGACAATGTCACAAATGGGAGTAAGTTTAGGCTGATATTATCTTGTTGAACAGTAAAACTTGAGCAGTTGCTAAATGAGATGAGGATGTTGATTGATGTGTGTAGAAGATGGTGGGGAGCAAGATGACCTCGAAACAGCTTGCCCCTCTTGGAAGCCTTCAACGTCCCAACATCGCAAAAGAGCTGCAGACGGACGACGAGGCTTCGACCCCGTTGCTACCCGCTGCTTCTCTGAACAGAGGTGCTCTTGATGCAACTTTCGATGTCGAGGAGAAGAAGAAGCCAGGCACGAAAGCCATCCCAAGGTATCCCCACGTCGCTTCCGGAGTCCAGAGTCGGATGGTGATGCGGAACGGCGACGAAGTGGTGATATCGACCACCCCGAGGGCGGTGGCCACCGTGCACCTCCACGCTGCACCTTCCCGTAGGGTGCAGCTGGTGGTGCAGGCTGGTGATGCAGTGGTCATATCAACTACCACAGGAGCTGTGAATACCTTGTCCAAGACCGACTACCTCACGTCCACGCCTACTTCGATCCTGGGCCGTCGCGTGGTTCTGACACCCGAAGTCGCCTCGAAGATCCCCGTGGCTCAGAACCGAGGATCGGGAAGGAGGCGCAGGATGTCTCAATTCTCTCCCGAGGAGACCATAGCCATGACTCCTGCTCGTGTGAATGACTACGGTTTGGATCATTTAGCTTACACGGCAAACGATGAGACTCCGGAGGAAGACCCAGATGCTCCATCAAAATGTATTCCAAATTGGGCCAAGAGCAGTGAGTGAGACTTCTTGCCAGTCAGCTTTTGAAATTCATCATATGGTTTCTGAAGGTTGTTTCATTATAGGAAGCACTGTAAAGTTGTGTAATGTGGTACTTCTGTAGGCTACAATGGAATTGAGAAAGAAGTCATTTTTTACTTTTGTAATGAGTCTTTGTATCAGGATCAGATGACTCCCAAGTTGCACTTTAACCTGGAGAAAGTAATGCTGAAATCTCTCATGTTGCTAAAGGCACCAGAGGGACAGACCCAAAGCAGGGCAGGTTCCAATCCCTTTTGTCTCACTTGTTCTGCACTGAGAAACAAAAAGTTTCATAAACTCTGATAAATGGGGGAAAGAACATTTTTGATACAAAATTTTTCAGTTTCCACCCAGTTTTCTTTGAATGATTACAACTGCACTAAAATCCTTAATTGCAGAACTTCATTTTCAAAAATATAATCATTCACATTCTGAACAACAAATGACTGCACAGTGAGTTTTTTTTTTGTTCCTCATTCTTCTGCTATGGTAATGAAGTGCCATCTTTCATCAAGGGGTGCGTACAGGTACTAACACATTACCATGGAGACTCAGCCTCTGCATTTCTCTTTGCCAGGAAAGTACCTCAAGACGAGAGCATTGGATTCCTTCAAGATACACGAGGTGCATCCCCAAAAATGTCGTCAACCGAAGCTGAAGCGCCTCTTCCCCGGCTACGAATGCCACGGAAAGCCGCGTGGGACGTCGGCAGCCTGGAGTTCTCCGCTCTGGGACGACTCCATCGGCGAGTCCGCTGATGTCTCGAGCACCCCGTCCGTTGGGAAGCTCAGATGAGTGATCCTAATCATTTTTGCATTCTCTTCTTGATTTATTGATTTTTATTTATTTTCTGAGACCTGTGTGCTTTTTATTTTCTCTAGTCCTATGGATTTTTTTATGGTGTGTATTTTTGTATTTTAGGTCAGTGCATTTGTATGTGAAATGTGAAATAAAGCTGTGATAGATGCATTGCATGGAGTTTTAAATTCAAGTCGACATTTGATGTGAGACTCTTTTTGTGTCCCAGGGATGGAGATGTCTAAGTTGCAGCATACACATATTGGATAAGATTAGTTAAGATGATGAGATGGATCACATTGGATAAGATATTGCTGGCGGTATATCTTATAGTGAGATTTCAGCACTGGTTCGTGTTATTTTGCTATAGGAATTCCTTTTTTATTTGCAATTGTTTTGTGCAGAAAAATTGCAGTTTTGTGTATCGAGGTAGATTTTCTCATGAAATAACTGAATCCAAGTGAAATCCAAATCACAATTCTATTCGGTCTAACGATCAGATTCACAATTAACATACCTGAGCATAATTTCAATTTGGCACTGATCAGGAGTCAAAGCTTTTTTTTGGCAAGTTTTGAGGCATTCAAGCTGATGGCAGAAATTGAGCCGACTCTGCACGACGATAAAGCACTTATAAATAGAAGTCCGCATCACAAAAGAAGCATAGAAAGGACGAAAAATAAAACATGGAAACGCAGTCTCCCATGGGGAAAAATATTATAAAATGAAAACATTGCTTATATATCCCGCGAATGCCAATCTGAAACTGCAAAAGGACATTTCGATGTTAATCACGCTATTTTTTTAGGCAAATTTTTTTTTGGAGAAGAAACACGAACCAACATCGAAGTCCCCCATGGGAGAAAATAAGATAATGACAACATTGCCGATCCATTACATCCCATTACGGCCGGGCCCTCGCGTCCCCTTTTTTTTCGTAAGCCATTTTTTTTTTTTTTTACAATCTGCAAAAAAAAAAAAGACTATTCGACCGGATTGGACCCCTGAGCATCCGCAGGCGAATCCGTCGGCCCTTCCCCTTCCAGGACTTCCTGCGGCCTTCCCATCTCCACCCCGCCCACCATCGGCTCCAACGGTGGCAGCCTGCGGGGAAAAAAGTCGCAAATTTTCCTTTTCCCGTTCTTGCTCGTTCTTAAGCTTTCTTAAGCCGAATAAATAGGCCATGGCGATACAGTGCTTCCTGATGAGGAAATTCTCTTTTCTTTTTTGATCGAATCGAATTCCGCCTCGAAACTTAAAAGTTCGACGACGTTAAGAGTCCAGGCATTTTAGGACTTTAAAATAAATAAAATTGATTACAGTTCTTAAAAAGGATATTTCCATTCGACACATTTTGCCCAGATGATACTGCAAAAAATTAACGTTAATTTTTTTCAACACGCCGCTGTCGATCGCGCCAGCGCAACGACCCGAAACGGGATTCGCGATCTCGATCTCGACCTTGACCTTTGACCTCGACCTCGACCTCAAAGGACGTCGCTCACCCTCTGGACGCCTCGTTGACCTGCTCGTTGAGGATCTTGATGGAGGGAATGCCGGGGATGGGTTCGAGTCCCGGCTGCCCCCCCCCGCCGGCCCCCCCGCCGCCCCCCACGGCCCCCCCAGCGGGGACGTACTGGTACGACACCGTCTTGAACGTGCCGGCCTCTGTGGACGGGAACCGGTCGTGAGGGCGTTGCTCGGGATTGTACTGGTCGTGAGAGTTGTCGCGGTCGGCTGGAAAGTGACAGCCTAAGCGGGATGTCATCAAATTCCGCGAAAACAAATTTTTATTTTTTAAAACCAAATTTGTCCAAAAATCTAAATCAAATCCAAATTTGTACCAAATAAATTTTAAACGTGATTTCAGCTCTCACGCGATTGCAGCTTCGAAAACCGCGAGGAAAATCTCCCTGGGGGGATTTGGAACCAGGCGGACATCCCTCCACCAGGTGGATAAAGATCCACCTGCTTCCAAATCCACCTGGCAAGCGCCGACGGAATGCAAAAAAAAAACTGACTTCCGATGCTCGAAGGAGCCGAGTAGTTGGAGTATCTGGGCGACGGCGTGGAGTTGGACATGGAGGGCGTCGACGGGATCGACCCCCCCTGGATCGACCCTCCCTGGAGCGACCCCCCCTGCATCGGCGTCCCCGGGTTGTGGCTCTTCGTCTTCCGCTTCCGCGGCCGGATCTCCTCCTTCTTCATCGACAGCGGCCGGTTCACCTGGATGGAGGCCCTCGGTGAGTGTTCGTCGCTTCGACACGTTCAACAGGTGTTCATCGAATGTTCAACGGATGGTGAGACTCAATTTTCGGTCTAAAATTCACATTTTCATTCATTCTCGATACTTGTTGCGTTGGCGACCGCGACGAAACCGACGACCGATGACGTCACAGAAGCGAAAACTAATTTCGGCCCCCCCCCCCCCCCCCCCCAAAAAAAGCCTGGACTCACCGAGTGGAGCTTGTAGTAGAGCCCGCAGGCGTTGCAGACCGGCTCGCCCTGGTTGTTCCGTCGCCAGAGGGTCGTCGACTGGGTCTTGCAGTTGGCGCATTGGATCCCCGACCGCCGGTTCGACGCGGGCTAAGGGGACGTCCGAGTGCAAACTTAATGCGTTTTAAGTCTTTTTTTATTAAGCCGAAATTTTAATCCTAAAAAAAAAAATATTTTTTAAATGTGAGAAGGAAGTAACGAGGAATTGGATGATCGCAGGAGAGTCAGAATTTTTTATTGGATTTTTGCGTCGATCCAATTGGACTCGGGGGATTCCTTTTCTCTCGAAGCGAAAATATTCGCGCGAGTTGCACTTCAGCTCGGTGGCGTCGCAGTAGGACGGATTTTCAACGCATTCGCGGGTTCGGGATCGTGCCAGTGTTTCTCACTCATTTCTCACTTACTTCTCACTCATTTCTCACTCATTTTCATAACGTCCCTTTTTTTTTATAGACGGGGATAACCGCTCGAGCCCATCGTCGCAAAACCGCGCGAAAATCAGGCATCGCTAAACCCAGAAGAAACAAAAAGAAAAGTCGAAGGAGGAGCGAAAAAGCAGAGAAGACGGTTACCAGACGACGCGGGGGCGTGGCCTGCACCTGCGCTTGCCTCCCGTTGGCTGCCGTCGCGAGGGAGGCGTGGCTCTGGGCGTGACACGCGGCGCACACCAGCTGCCCCGTGCCAGCATCCCGCTTCGTGGCCGGGTGGGCCCTGCACGAGCTGCATTCCTTCGCCTCGGGGTACATCCCCCCTTCGCCTCCTGTTCCGAAGCGAGTCGTCGGATTAGAACTGGGTCGTGGGGTCGAGGGAACGTTTCGAATGGGGAGAGGATTCAATCATATTCTCTTGGTTTGGCGATCGCGCTGGACGGGATAATCGTGTGGCGATTCGTCGAATGCGTTCGCCTTTGTTAATTAATGTTATTTTCATTGGAAAAATTTTCATATCACGTTTTACATATTTTACATCCGTCATGAGACATAATTAACGGCTCGAATTATTTTTAGAAGCAGTTCCTCGAACGACCGAGCGCGATCAGAAAGGGAAACGGGAAGCCGACCCATTGCGAATTCCTCGGGTCTCGCCGTCCTCTGCTTGCCGTAGGGGCCGTCCAAGGGCTGGGCGTAGGCGGTCCCCTCGCCCCCCACGGAGTTGTAGTAGGGGGTGAAGTCTTGGGAGGGGAAGTAGGAGGGGGTTTGGTATTCGTAGGTGTAGCCGGTGTTGGGGTTGAGGGAGGGGTCGTAGGAGGTGGGTTGGGGGGGGTAGGGGTGGACGTCGGAAGGGGGGAGGTAGCCCTGGATGAAGGTGGAGGCGGCTTCGAGGTTGGTGTAGGAGGAGGCGGTTTCGTAGTGGTCGGTGGGAGGGCGCTCGTAGGGGGCGTAGGATCCGTCGTAGAGGTAGGTGTACTTGAGGTCTTGCAGGGAGTCGGAGGGGGGGAGGCCGTCCATGGGGGGGAGGTGGGGGGAGGCGACCATGGCCTGTTGGAGGGATTCTTCCACGATGTCTTTCTTTTCGAGGGTGTAGGGGATGGAGCCGGAGGGGGTTTCTCTCTTGGGGAGGTAGTTGCATTCGGTGGAGAGCTCCTTCTTGGGGAAGACGACGTATTCGTCGGGATTGTCTTTCTTCGGGAAGTAGATGTACTCGGTGGGGCTCTCCTTCTTGGGGAGGTAGATGTATTCGCCGGCCTCTTTCTTGGCGACGAGCACGTATTCGCCGGGGTTCTCTTTCTTGGGGATGTAGATGTAGTCGTCGGGGACGAGCTCGAGGGGTGGAGGCGGCGGGGGCGGGGGCGAGGCGGTCGCGTGTGGGGGCGGTGGAGACGAGGCGTATCGCTGCCTCTCGGACTCTGCGGCTTGGGCGGAGGTCACGGCGGAGGTCACGGTGGAGATCATGGCGGAGGGCAGGGTGGAGATCGGGACGTGGCCGTGGAGGTCGTCGCTCTGGCGGCGCTTGATGGTGACGGAGTCCACGATCGGGTCCGGGTTGCGCGGGCGGGACTGGCCCGGCTCGATCCGCTGGATGATCACCGAGTCCTTCCGCTCTTGGTTGGGGTTATCCATCGTCTGGGGGAATTCACGCATCGGTATGACGGTAACGGAACGACTCCAAAAATATGTATATTTACTAAATATTATTAAACGAAAAATCGCGAGAGAATCATTAATACTAGAGATAAAATAACGATGAATAATTAGAAGAGGAAATCGGAAGTGGACGATCCGGACGGCGTCTGAGGCATGCTAACTTTTCACGCCGGCATTTCTCGAGAAGCCAAGCCTGCTCAGAAACCTCAGGAACGCGAAGCGACCGCGACAACTTCTATTCGCGAGTGAAGCTCCTTTTTCATATTTCATCCTTATTTTATTACTTGCATTGTTGTATTTTTTTTAAGTACATGTTAGTATTTATGAATGCAGGAGGAACATAGACAAGAATAGAGGATGAATCGAGCGCCGAAGAATCCCTTATCTCCCTTCGCACCCAGATGGAACCGAGGCGGAAGTGGAATTTTCCTGTTTCTTATCGAAAAAAAGGGTCTCTTCCACAGTTTATTTTAAGTTTATTTATCACTTCGAGTGGATCGAAAAACGTTGGGAAATCGTAAATACCGAGTTTTCATGAGTTTTTCATGAGTTTTTCATTGATTTTGAGTGCGATCGCGGCTGTCGTCGATGGCGTTTATGATGATTTAGTTATTTATGGTACCAATTTATTTTTTTTCCGTGGAACAGATTGTAGATGGAATTTTCCGGTTCTTTCCTCGTGATCTGGCCGGAAGAATGGTATATTTATTTATATTGTACAATATAACGCAATATATTTTACGTGATTTTCGCGAAAATTTCAGTGAAATCAGCTTTTTCTTCCCGAAATTTTTGCCAAAGGTGGTCCAAATATTTACTTTTACCTCTCGATAATTATATGCATATTTTTTTTTTAATATTTACCATTTATTTATATTGAAACGGACGGGAATCGGGGAAAGTGGGTCACCGCGGGTGCGAAAAGTCGCACCCGGGGTGTGTTCCGTGGACCTACCCCACATCGAAGCAAACAGCATCGACGCCTCCCGATTCTGCCCCCGATTCTGCCCCCGGTTCTGCCCCCGATTCTGCCCCTGCTCCCAGCGGGGAGACGGAATTTACGACGGCTTATCTCTGGATGACGCCACGCCGCTTCCTCGAGTGTTTCCTCGGAATCTCGCGATTTTCGATGCCTCCTCGCCCTCCGTGGTACCTCATTTATTTAGTCTTTTATTTTATCTTACCGTTTTCGCCTTCATCTAGATTTTTTTATTAATACTTTCGTGCCTTGTTTTAATAAGCTTCCCTGACCTTGGATGAAGACCGATAACGAGCGCCCACAATTCTTTTTTTTTTTTCATCTCGCAACAGAAAAAATTTATTGAGTTGACTGAGCCAGGAGAAGGGAACGGTAAGCTGACTCAGCCAGGGGAAGGGAACGGTAAGCAGACTAAGCTATTGATAAGTAAAGGGAACGGTAAGATTTCTGATATAATTTTTTTAAATACTTCATCCAAAGTACCAGCGACTAAGCATTACGATTGCCTGACTAAAAAATAACAGCCATGTATATATAATTTATAATTTATATAAATTAATATAACGTAAATAATAATATTTAAAAAATACATTTTTAAACAGTGATCGACGCCAATTTCAGTATAAAAAAATTTCTCGTCGCGTGGATCCATTTACGACACATAAATCACTTCGCCGGGACGGGATGCATGGCTTATCTCACGGGCGAACGCGCGAGGGGCAAAAGCAGGAAACAGGCTCAAGAAACGGTGGAAACGGGCTGAGGAAATCTCCAAACTTCCTGGGAGAGCTAAATTAATAATGAAAATATTGGAATTTTTTTTTCAATATATATATATAGAAATAAATTTTTATGAGCTTTATTGTTCGTCTGTGGAGGTAGTCGCCCAGACAGTCGCCGAGAGAGTCGCCAAACCAAGGTCGGAGTTGCCCGGGCGAGCCTCCCACCCGGGGGCCCAGCCTCCCACCCGGGCCCCCTGCCTCCCACCTCCCCAGCCCTCTCCCCGCCTCACTCCGAGTACCACCGCGAGTACGGGAACCCAAAACGCCCCGAAACGGCCGGATTCGGCCCCCCAAGGTTGCCGGAACCCGCGTCTTCGCCCGAACCTCGACGACCCTGCCCCCGAAAAACCCGATCGAAGAACTCGAAATCTCTCATTAGATACACGAGCGACAGATAGAGCGTAATCGGGCCCCCCCCCACACCCCCCCGATATGATATAGGTTATCCAAAAAATCTTTTTTGATAACACCCTAAGATATTTTCCTAAGTTATCACTCACCAGATAGGTTCAGTAGGCAGCACCGGGGGGGAGGGAAATCCGAACTGGATTCCCCGTTGCGCAACCTGAGAATGCACATCGTGCCCCCTCTGCCCCCTCCCCCCGCCCCCCTGCCCCCCCGTCCACAAACTTATCTAATCTAGAGGGTGGCAAATATTGATAAAAAGTCCCTGGACCTGGTCCTCTTTCTTTCCCCCTGTCTGTCGAGTTTCCTGGTCGCACCTGGTCCGGTTTTTTTTTTCTTTTTCCCTTCCCACCCAGTAAGCAAACACCGCCTCCCCCCCCTTCCCCCCCCCTTGCCCCCCCTTACCACGAGTGAAGTCAACAATTTCTCTGGCATTCTCACGAATTTTATATAACGCCATAGGGAAAAAAAAAACGGCGTGACTAATGCACCCGGATGAGCGGATGCGCCGCAGTGTTGCCCGATCCCTCGGCGATTCTCGGCCGAGATCCGGCGGATCCCTCCGTCGCTTCCGCCCGATCCGGAGGGAAAGCGATCGCTCGAGACGAAACGAAAACCCGAAACGAGGACGATCGCTTCGGGGAGCCTTCGGCGAAGGCTTCGCCGAAGGCCGAGACTTCGCCGTCGAATCCGGCAACACGGGTTCCGCGAGATATTCGCCGCGTATCTCTCGAGCGTGAAAAAAGGACCGCCGGAGCCTCATAAAACTGAGGGACGCCTGAACCATCATAAAAATTAAGGACTGCTCGATTTACTTATCGACTTAGGAACGGATGCAACTTTATAAACATGAGGGAAAAATTATGAAAATGAATGAGGACTCATAAAAACGAGGAAAGGCGGTATAAAAAAATGAGGAAATGCATATAAAAATGAGGGAAGGTCGTAGTGTTAATAAATCCCGTTCGTCGTCCCGTTCCCACCGAGCAAAGGTGGACTTTTTTTTTCACGTGAGAAGTCGGTTGGATATGATGGATTTACGACAGGCAGCGTTGCAGCGTTGCAGTTTCCTGTGTTTGCGCCCGGGGAGATAAGGCCGTGTCCATTCCGCCATTAGGTGTGTGCGTTGCGCTCCGGGCAGGGGGGGGGGGGGGGGGGGGGGGGGGGGGGGGGGGGGNGCCGAACATCTTTTGCATTTTACTTTTACGATAAGGTAAAGTCTTCCGAGAGCTCCCGCCTCGATTCGCTGTCCGAAGTCGTCGCGGAATCGTCGGAAATTTCGCGACATTTCCGGCAGAAACGTGTCGACGAAGGTGATCGTCCCCTCGCCTCGAACGACTCCAAGTCGCTGAGTTTCTTCGTGGGTCTTTCCTTTGGGTTTTTTTCGGCTCCTCTTCCCGAAGGAATTGTTGGACCTGGAATTCGTTCTCGGACGCGGAGGAGGCTGCGACGCGCCCGAGGACGTCTCTCGTTGACGGCGAACGTGGAACTGATCGCGTGACGGTTTCGGCTTCGGTTTCGGTGACGTGGACAATGACTGCATTTCGGGCAAAATGCGTGACAAAAAAGGCACGTTGGCAACAGCCGTCTGTACGAGCACGGGGAAAAGCCTCGTGCAACCAGGTTGGCGATCGGTATGAACACGGGATGAAGCCGATCGGATCGAAGATTCCTTGCAACCGTGCAGCATAGCCGAGGATCCCGATCCGTCCCTTCTCGCGTCGGTGGGGAACCGGTCGAAAGATGGCGAACGGTTCGTGCAATACGAGCTCGCGCGATCCGATCGGTTGTTCGCGTCGCTCGAGGGCTCGACTGCGTTTGCTTTAAATGACGTAGCGAGGAAAACGTCTCGGAAAGGACTCATGAGGATTCTGCATCTTCTCTGGTTCGGTCTCCTCTCCGCTATTCTCCTCCTCTTTTGCTCCTCTTCCAGATGATATTTGCTCCTTAATTAACTGGAGATTAAATTTTCGTCGGGCCGTATGGATACGACGGCCAAGAACACGGACACTTAATAAATTTCCGCTAAATATTACCTAATAAATTGCTGAAACTCGAAAGGGGAATTTTCCGTAACTTCACATACGACACGAATTTAGTTCTTCGTTTTCCTTCCCACCTTCGTTATCGAGTTCCACGCATTTTATCTGCAATGATAAAAAGAGCCAAAAGATTCTTAGAATCTCAGACGATAATGGCCGGACGAAGCACCGTTTTTACGCCCGCCGTACTCTTATCGCATCTGATCGTCGGATCCTCGAGGCATTCTCTTCTTTGCAGATAAAATTCCTGATATTGCAAAAAAGAAAATCTCAGAGGATGAGAAATTCCCGTTCGTGTTCGCGACGGTTTCACGCGCGGTTGGGCCAGTTTTCATCCGATTCCGAAACACGGTTTGGTCTAAGTCAGTTCGCTTCCTTAATTTTTTTTTATCCATGCCAATCCCTGAAATGTGCGAAAGCAGAAGAACTTCAAGGTGGATGTTTACTTTTGGGATCGAAGGCCTGTCGCGCGGGTCACACTTCGTGCAATTATCAGTTAAGGGCAACTGACTCTTTGGCCCCTCCGGGCAACCCACAGACATGGCCTTACTGTGGTAGCAACGGCGATCGATATGACGGTTTCCCTTCCGAAAATGCAACATCGGCATGCGTAGCTCATGACGGGATCGACCCCTAGGTGATCGAACCCGTCGAGTCGGGATGACCAACGTCACAGCAGGTCGAAACGGGGCAACCCTCCATTCCCTTCTCTTCCTTCTTCTTTCCCTCGTTTCCCTCCTCCATTTCCTTTCTCTCCGAAGGGGAAGTAACCTTCCCTCTGCCGGAGAGGGAGAAACGCATGGGAACGGCTTCGGACTCGAGCGAGAAAAACGAGGAATGCGTCGAAGGGGAAGGTGCGAGACGCGAGGATTTCCGACACCATCTGAAGGCAAAGAAGAGAAGGAAGAAGACGATAGGGCTCGCGGTACGAGCCGGCATCGGCCGGAGAGAATCCAACTCGCACCGTACGAGTGCAACGTGCGGATCGTTAACCGCCGACTTCCCCCTTTATTTTAGGGAGGTTCTCCACGATTCTCCTGCTCTCCTAGACGGGATACCCGGATGCTTCGCCGGACCGGAATGCGAAGGTCGCCGACAGAAGACGTCGCAGAGAGCGAGGAACCCGCCATTCTCCGCCCATCCATCGCTGCCCTTGGGGCGATAGGCAGCACCAGCCGACCGCGTCTCTCCGCACCTAGAGGACTGGCTACCGCTTCTATGGAGGGGGGAGTACATTTCACCCAGGTCTTAGAAGCTCGAGAGGGAACGATCGAGGCCGAGGCGACCCGTCCCGAGTCGATAGGGCTGTGATTCCATCGTTTCGATCGAGTTCTATCGCGTTCGAGCCCGGTGATCGAAGGCAAACGGGAAACGTTTCCGGCCTTGCACGAGAATGTAAACCGTACCGACGTTTGCAAGCCGAAGCGGATCTCGTTCGAGCGACAGAGATCGCTTGTGACGCTGGCGTCATTTGCTCCCACACTTTGGTTCGCCGAGTCAGATGGAGATGGCAGGACCGAACAAAAAAGTTTTTTTTGTTCACACTGCCGATTCGACGCCATTTTATGATTAAAACCCGAGAAAATATGGCCCCGTGCTTGGCTTATTCCGAGGCCGGTGAAACGGCAGTCGCATCAGCGTCTGGTTTCGCATTTTTTATTTGCAAAAAAACTACAAAAGAGCCGATTGATAGGTTACGGCATTTAAAGCGTACGTGTAGGAAACCTGTCGACGGGGACGCCAGCAACCACGCTCTCCCATCAACTACAAAGGATCCGCCATCCGTTAGGACTGGAAGGCAAGTCATTCCAGCGATTCCTTCTTCTTCTCTCGTTCTTGCTCCCTTCTCTTCCTCTTCTCTTGCAACCTCTTCCTCTTCCTCTTCCTCTTTTCCCGAGCTTTTTCCTCTCGAATTCGAATTCTTTCTGCCCTCATCTTGGGGACAAAGGATATTCGCTTTCGCTGCCGGTATCTCGTATCTATGTCCATCGCTCGTCGAACGCCTTTAGCACTTTATTTTTATGATAAGCGAAAGACATCCGGGAGATCCCGACCCGATTCTCGTCGGAAGTCGTCGCGGAATCGTCGGAAATTTCGCGGGAACGAGTTAACTAAGGAGAGTGTCCACTCACCTCAGACGACTCGATGTCGCCGAGTCTTTGAATTGGCCGTTTTTTCAGGGCACCCGTCTCGACGGAACACCCGTACCTCGAATTCATCCTCCGACGAGAAGGAAACTGCGATGGCCCGAGAACATCTCTCAGTGGCGGGAAAACGTCGAAGCGATTGCGTAGCAGTTTTAGCTTTTGTTTCAGTGACATCGTGAGTCACAACGACAATGCTAGCATTTTTGACCAAAACCGCGAAAAAAAAAGGCCGTTGGCAACTGCCGTCTGCAATCAGGTTGGCAATTGTCATGAACTCGGGATGAAACCAATCGGATCGCACATCCATTCCAACGCTGCAATATGACTAAGCATATGATCGGTCCCTTCGTCGGGGGGAACTGGCTGAAAATTTCTGCCCCATTCGTGCAATTCGGGATCTCGCAATCCAATTGGTTCCTTGCGTTCCTCGAAAGCTCGACGGCGTTTGCTTTAAAAAAAAAAAAACAAAGCGAAGAAAGCGTCTGGGACAGGATTCACGGGGATTCCGAACAGAGGAGAAACGGAAACGGTTTCGTTTCCGTTTCTGTTTCTGTTCCGGCCTCACGAGAATGCTCTTCACTGGCCCTGTGGATCCATTCCAACCATCATGCATCTCGACTGGCTTTAAGATTTAAGGAAGGCATACCCGAGAAAATTAATCGGTCAGAAATTTACGTGTCGTGTTGGCGCATATCTCCTTCGTAATCTGCTCATCCTTCTCTCCCACCTTTACCTTCTCCTCCTTCTTCTGTACCTTCTCCACCTCCTTTCCCTTCTCTTCCTTCTTCTTTGCCTTCTCCACCTCCTTTCCTTTTTCCTCCTTCCTTCCATTCCGATCCTCCTTCTTTTCTTCGTCTCCTAACTTGTCGCTTTCCTCGTCTCCATTCTTGTCGATATCTTCGGGTCCCTCTTCATCGTTTTCCACGGCTTCCTCCTCCTCGTTCACCTGATCTCCCTCGTTCTCGTCCTCCTCGTGTC